GGTGTAAACTCTCTTCTCTGCTCTTGCCTTGCAGCTTAAAGGGGCTAAATGCGATGCTCTGCTCCTTGGGCATCAACAGGACCCAGATCTGAGAATGAACAACCTAAGGGCTGGGGGAAGGTGGGAGGTCTTGGCAGCCCAACAAGCTCCAGCGAACTGCGAAAGAGACTTTGTATTAGGAGGAACACGCCAAGAACAGAAAACATTTCCCCTCTCCTGTCAGAGCAATCCCTGCTGCCTCACGGGAGAGACGTGACAGGCCTTAATTGGCATGGTCAACTGCAGGGGAGAGTCGGGGTTTCTCATTAATCTGGGACAAAAAAGGGGCTTCAGTGGAGATTTGTATCCAATGTGCTAGATTTTCACTGCTGAACTATTTAGCTAAGTGGTTGGCATCTCCTGGGCTTCTCCAGCCCAGTTAGCCCATTCCCCTGGTCCTGATAAATCAGCAAAAAACACATCAGTGGGGAGGTGAGGCTTTGAGTCTGAGGCCTCTATCCCACAGCGGGTGTCCTGTCCCTGACCCAGCTCCTTGTGACACTCTGACAGCTCAGTCCGGGTCCCGCTGGCACCTGCAAACCCTGCTGGTCTCTCCCGTACAGCAGAAGAGTACAGGACCGTTAGCGCTCTGGCGTGCCACCCACAACATGCCCGCAGAGCCCGGTGAGTACAAGTGACATGCTGCCCGGCGGGCACAAAGGGCTGGTTATAGCAGCAGTGTAAGAGGCAGGTGCTGGGGAGGGGAAATCCGTGCAGCAGAGGGAGGCGGACAAGTCGTTCCCTTCTCCCTGCCTCGAGTGCTAGGGGCAAAGGCTGAGCTCCCAGGGGAGGGGCCCAGGGTTAGCACAGGTTGGCTGCTTTCATGCTCATCCACTGGTCCCAGCTCCACATAGGTCAGTTTGCTTTGGCTCCCAGCCGGGTTAACCCGAGCGGGAGAACTAAACGTGAACAACGCGGGGAGGAAGGCTGGGCATTGGTTCTGGAATCCTGGGCTGGGGGTTTCGTTACCCGTTACCCTGCTCGCCACTTCAGGTTTCACACTGTGAAGCTGAGTTTGAAACAAACCAACAGTTTTTATCCCTGTCGGGATTTTGTTCCTTTTTAAAACTGAATGTGCCCCGCCTGGGGAGAGTGAATTCCAAGTGGCTCTGCGCTCCCGTGGGCTGAGACTGTGCCAGCTAGTGCTGGGTGCCTGCCGCTCTCTCCTCATCTGAAGCGGTGTTGAACCGGGCACTGTCCCGGGGACAGGAAAGCCTCTTTTTTGCCCTGCCAATGATTTTTGAGTGACTTGCCTGCTGCTAGACCCTGATAGGGGCTTGCCAGACTGATACTCGCTGCTGTTGCTGGCTCCTTTTCTTAAGCGAATTAAGTCCTCTGCCCTTTGGAGCGACACCCAGCCAGCGCACTGGGGCTTGGCTCTCCTCTGAGCCTGTGCAATAATCAAGAGGCACCAATTTACACAAAATTATCTTTATTTTCACTTAGAGTCAGATTGTCACACGGGACTATCCGGCCAAATAAAGAGCCTGATTGTCGTGTCACTTGAGCAGCAGTTCTGTGCTCCTGGGGGATGAGTGGAGAGAAGCTGTCTGCGGGTCGAACTCTGCCCCATGGCTGACGTTCGGTGAATGCCAGGCCATGCTCTGCTGCGTTATGTCCAGGCCGAGATTTGATTCCTCTGTATTATCTGACGGGTTGGAAGGGCCTGACCCCGGCTCTGCTCAGATTTCCTCTTCTAGTGTGACGCTGACTAATGGGAGTGTTGCTATTTACAGCCTCACTTCCCATGGAGTCTGAAGCAGTCTGCCCAGGGGGCCGGTTCCTGCCTATTAACAGCACAACAGGAGGCTAATGGGGCATAAGCAGCTGAACTCTGGTCTCCTTCATCTACTCTCCATTCCCAAAGCAACCCTCCGAGCCTCAGCGAAAGGCTTGCAGTGAAGAGATGCCAATGGGCTGTAGTTGAAAATACCTTCCCGCTCTGGGAGCTTGCCAGAGTTTGCTCTAAGCTTAGCAACAACCTGTAACAGCTGATGGTCTGTGCATTGGTGAGTTTTGTACTTTCCCAAATGACTGGCGCTTTCTCGTCATAAGCTTTGAAATCCAGCTAGTCGCTCATCCTGGTATATGGCAAGACACTTGCTCTTGCCTGTGTCCCCATGGCAGTAATACAGCGAGACAGACTCCAACGAGACAGACTCCAACAAGA